GGGGGGGACCCCCGATATCCTCGGCCTGACCTCCACGACCACCCTTTTTCCGTCCCCCGCGTCCCCCGCCCCCGGGCCCGGTCCTTTAAGCCCTCCAGTGGCTGCGAAGGGAAATGGCCCGGCGGTGGCTTTAACCCTTTCCCTTCCCCCTTAAAGGGACCGACACCCAAGCCTTCTTCCCCAGCCTGGAGGGTTGATGTTTGCGGAGAGGGACCGCCCCGCTCCCCCATCTTCGCCCCCGCCCCTGTCTTTCCTCTCCCCCACATATACATTCAAAGGTTGGGACCTGGAATTTAAGGTTGCAGAAGGGGGGGGGAAATCTCTGTCCCGGAGGAGAGGGCTGGGGATGGCAGTGGGGAGGGGGGCGCCGAGTGAAGAGAGGGGTTGGGACCCCTACACTGCTGAGTCCTGAGGAGGGCAGAAGCTCTGGGTGTAGAAATGGAGAGGGGACTGGGTGGGTGGAAGCTGGGGTGGGAGGGGGGTCCCCACACCAGTTCTGAATGTATATCTGATGCGTGTGAGCCTCTTCCTCCTTGATGCCCTCCCTGACTCCCCCTTGCCCTTTTCTTCCTCCACACCCCTCCTCCAGAACTGGACCCTACAGGCCTCCCCTGGGTGCCTGGGGGACAAGGCTTAGGGGTTCCCCCCCAAGGTGGGTCAGGCCCAGTCCCACTCCCTGAACTCTTGCTAACCATCTCTTCTTATCCACCCCCCTACCACCAGAAGAGGAGCGCCCCAAACCCAGGTGAGATCCTACGGGGTAGGGGGCCCTGATCACGTGCCCCTGAATGTTCCCCACCTCCAGAGACAGGGTGCTAGAAAGGCAGAGACAGGAGGGAGAGCGAGATGAAGGAGACAGCGGCCAGTGCGCAGTCTTTCAGCAAACATTTCTGAGAGCCCCCCTGTCCTGGAGGCTTACACCCTGTCTGCAGTACTGTTAGCGAAACAGACTCAGATGAGTGGTGAAAATAGCCCGGGACACCCAGCAGCACAGGAGGGGGACAATGTGTGCCCAAGGCAATCAAGGGAAGGCATCCCAAGGGAGGTGACACCTGAGGCCTGAGTGGTGAGGCCTTTGTTACTGCGGGAGGTAGAAGGGCCACTGCAGGAGACAAGCTGTGTGGCTTGTGCAGAGTCCAATGGCTGGACCTGAGCCAGTCCAGGGAACAGAGGCAGACACGGGTCACTGTGATGGTGAGGACCTGAGCTGGGCCCACAGCAGAGGCTGGGAGAGCTCTGTGGGGAGTGGGGGTAAGGGATGGGAGGGGAGGTCTGAGGGCAGGTGACACTGGGGTCAAGGCTTGGGGAGGCAAGGTGGCAGGGGGGGAAAAAATTAGATGCAGAAAGTCCTTGACCTGGACTGGCAGTGGTGTGGATTTCATTGTGGCTAGAGTATAGGATGCCAGAAGGGGTTTGGGCCATGGAGTGGAAGGTGGAACCTTGAAGTGGAAGGGGTGGGGCCGTGGAGAAAGGACCGGGAATGGAGTGGGGGGGGCCATGATGTAGAAGGGGCGGGGCCATGGAGTGGAAGGGCAGAGTCTTGGAGTGGAAGAGGTGGGGCCTTGGAGAGGAAGGGGTGGAGCCATGAAGTAGAAGGGGTGGGGCCGTGGCACAGAATGGAAGGGGCGGGGCCATAGAGTAGAAGGAGTGGAGCCATGAAGTGGAAGGACCATGGAGCAAATGGGGCGGGGTCTTGGAATGGAAGGGGTGGGACCAAAGAGAAGGGGTGGGGGCTTGGAGGAGGCGGGGCCTCACCACCCCCTGGGGGGCCCTGCAAGGGTTTAAGAGGAGGAGGCTGGGGCTCAGATCTGAGAGCGCCCTGGAGGTGTGCATTGGGGTCAGGGAGGGCTTGTAGGAGCCCGTGACCCAGGTAGAGTATGTTAGGGGCCCGGTATGTCAGGGAGAGGGCAACGCAGGCAGCAGGCACAGCACATGCAAAGGCCCTGAAGGTGAAAGCACATGCCTGGCCAGGGAACCAGAAAACGTGTGTGTGAGAGGGAAGGTGCTGGAGCAGTCATTGGGGCCATAAGGAAACGTCATCGAATGCAGGGTAGTTGCCTTGACTTTGTCCTAAGGGCAGTGGGGAGTCGGGAGGGGGGCATTCTGAGCAGAGGAGGGGCAGGGTTGGCTCTGGGTGTTAGAAAGATCCCTCTGGAGTTAAAGGAGGATGAGGCCTGGCACAGTGGCTCATGCCTGTAATCCCAATGTTTTGCTGAGGCAGGAGGATCTGTGAGTCCAGGAGTTCAAGACCAGCCAAGACAACATAGCAAGATCTCCTCTATATAAATAAAAATAAAGGAAGATAAGCCACAAGTTGGAGGCAGGGAGGCCAGAGTGGAGGCTGGGATGATGGTACAGCTGTGAAGAAAAGAGGGACCATGGGGTGGAAAGGCGGGAACAGACTGAGAGAGAGTCTAAGGGGGGGCAGAACTGTTGGGATAAGTGGGGAGAGGAAGTGAGGACAACTCACCAGACTCTAAGCTGGGGAAGCAAGTTGACACTGTGCTGCCACCTCCGTGTTGGAGATGATGAACTCTGTAGGGTTTGGCATGTGGGGAGGTGAGAAATGTCCAGTAGCTGGGCGTGATGGCTCCAGCCTGTCATCCCAGCACCTTGGGAGGCTGAGGTGGGAGGATCACTTGAGGGTTATTATTATTTTTTGAGTTGGAGTCTCACTCTGTCGCCCAGACTGGAGTGCAGTGGCGTGCTCCCAGCCACCGCAGCCTCGAGCTGCTGGGCTCCGGCGATCCTTCTGCCTCAGCCTTCCAAGTAGCTGGAACTACAGGCGTGCGCTACCACACCCAGCTAATTTTTTATTTATTGTAGAGATGAGGTCGCGTCAAGTTGCCTAGGCGGGTCTTAAACCCGCGGTCTCAGGCAATTCACTCACTTCGGCCTCCCAAAGTGCTGAGATTACAGGCTGAGCCACCGAGTCCGACCAAAAGATGAATTTTCATAACACATTTTATTCAATTCATCATATCTCAACATATGCAGTCAGTAGAAAACATTATTTTTATTTTTTTGCAAAGAAAGAAAAGTTTATTTAGAAGTGAATTGGGAGAGAAAGGGAAGGGAAAGAGAAGATTCACCTCCCCAAGGTGGGGAAGGAATAGAAAACATTATTAGTGAGGTACTTTACATCCTTTCTCTCTTTGTGTGTGTGTGTGTGTGTGTGTGTGTGTGTGTGTGTGTGTGTGTGTTGAGTTGGAGTCTCACTCTGGAGGCTGGAGTGCAGTTGCATACTCATGGCCACCGCAGCCTTGACCTGCTAGGCTCAGGCAATCCTTCCGCCTCAGCCTTCCAAGTAGCTGGAACTACAGGCACGTGCCACCACGCCCGGCTAATTTTTTGATTTATTGTAGAGATGAGGTCTTGCCAAGTTGCCCAGACTGGCTTTGAACCCTGGGCTCAGGCAATCCTCTTACCTTGGCCTCCCAAAGGGATTATAGACCTGAGCCACCGTGTTCAGCTGTGTCTCTCTTTTTAAGAATTGAGACAGGGTCTCACTATGTTGCGCAGGCTGGTTCAAACTCCTGGCCTCAAGCGATCCTCCCTCCTCGGCCTCCCAGAGTGCTGGGAAAACAGGCGGAAGCCACTGTGCCCATCTAATTTTACACTCTGGTGTATGCCTCACTGACAGCCTATCTCAATTCAGCCCAGCCACATTGAGGGTAGCCAGGAGCCACGGGGGTGGGGCTGGGGTGGGTCTAGTGGCTACAGCACTGGGCTACAGCACAGTCTGGGAGTTGGGCCAGGGAAGTCATGGCCTTCATCCACTTGTGTCCACTGCAGACCCGTGGTACCTCCTCTGATCCCGCCAAAGATCCCAGAAGGGGAGCGCGTGGACTTCGATGTAAGTTACAAGTGCCCCCTCCGTGGACACAGTTGCTGTCCTCGTGGGGCCTTTGAGACAATCATGAAAAACGACTTTTTTTTTTAGTTGGAGTCTTATTCTGCCACCCAGGCTAGAGTGCAGTGGTGCAATCATGGATCACTGCAACCTCGACCTCCTGGACCCAGGCAATCCTCTTGCCTCAGACTCCAGAGTCGCTGGCTCTACAGACCCGCATTACCACGCCCAGCTAATTTTTTAAAAACAGTTTTTGTTAGAGAAGGGGTCTTGCTATGGCGCCCAGTCTGGTCTCGACCTTGGATCAGGCGATCCTTCCACCTCAGCCTCCTGTATCGCTGGGACTACAGGTGCGCACCACCATGCCCAGCTATTTTTTTTTTTAATTTTTGTAGTAAGGAAGTCTTGCTGTG